ATTGGCGTGGTAGGTAGTGCGGCGCATGGTCAAGGAAGAAGCCGTCAGTTGAAGCGGATTGGATAACAAACGTTGCACATCATGATTCCACGAAGATAATGTTGCAAAAGTCAGCAAGGTCTCAATTTTATCACGGAATAGTTTATTGGGTATGAAATTAGTGAATATAATGGCCGCTGGTGACCGCTGATGCAGAATGTGCCACGCATCCACCACACATTGACTACTGATAGCAAGACTCAGATCCAATGTTTCTTCATTCCTTGTTGGTGCTGGACTTTCCGTACAAAGTAGGCCCAAATAGCACAGTGAGCCCAGATAGCACAACTCGGCAGAAACAGAAGTTATAAAGTGATCGGATTCCAATACTCTTGTTATCTACGCTACGAGTGTGATGAGAGGCAAGCAGAAAGCATAAATTCAAGCAGATGGAGGGGAAGTAAGGCGGTGCCTTCGATTATAATAAGAGGCAGTCGATCAAATCCACGAAGTGATTTTTCCGAGGAAATGACAGTGTTAGCTCATTATACTTTTTCCTGCAAAAAGAGATATACAGCTGCGGCAAGTGCACATTGCCAAGATCTATAAATTGGGGATGGGGGCCAGAAAAGTCAATCACATCTAAAATGCTTCTCATTTTCGCAGCGCTAGCTTCCTTTCTGTTGAATGTCGTCTCGACCGGTGAGTTTCATTTGCCCCCACCAGATACAATTCATAGTACTAAACTACGTGTGGTAACATTAGTCAGGTCTACATCAATCCTCTCGATGAACACATGTTTCAGAGACCTTAAATGGGCAGGCAAAATCAGCTTTCAAGGAACTCAACGTCATTTACAACAGAAAAATTGTCAGTTTTCTTGATGATTAGTAGTATTCCTATTATTACAAAATTCCTGCACAGGACTGGAGCGATGAGTTGGAGAAAAGGGCACTTGAATATTTGAAGTCTCCCGAAAGTGTGAAGGCTGGAATGATGATCAAAGGAAAAAAGTGCGCTTTGTTGCAATGTTTTATTTTATAAATCTGTGCATGTCTCATATCATCTCAAACATTAAGGACCTTCCCGACAAGCGATACTTCATCANTAGGAATCAAAGTTTGGAATGCATTCAGAGATCGCTTCAAGAAAAACGAAAAGAAAGTGAGTTTAAATATAAAGAAGAGTTTGTTATATCGATTCAAACGCATTCGAGTAACTTGTGGGAATCCTCAGTGAGTTATGGGAACCTCCTCATCCTAATGGGACCGAACCTGGGGTGAGGCTTAGCAGTGTTCCTTCAATCCCTATTGGAATAAGGTCAGCTCTCTCCATCAATCGGTATTTAACCGAGAGATTAACTTGAAAATTGCGGGTATTTCAAAAGGACCAAATGTAGTCAAGTTTGGATGGGAGCAATTGCTGAGTACTACGATTAGGGGTTTGCTTAGAAAGTAAGAAAGTAAAAGTTCCCGAAAGAGCCATCACCTGTGGACGAAAGCTGATAATTTTTTTCCATTTTGAGATACGTGGTCTTCCCGAAGGTTCAAAATACGGATGCAACATCATTTTCAAAACTACGGCAAATAAGCAAATCTTGAATGGTGTCTGCCTCTACAAAAAGAAGTGATCTGTTTGTATATTTGCTCGGCTTTCTCATAAATCGATTCCAAAACGGTGTAAAAAAACAATTGTGAAATCTTCTGCTCATTTGGGGAGAGCTAACGTCTCCCTTTGCTTTCTCCTACTTCCAGTTGGAACGAATGTGGATGAGAGAGAAAAATCCAGTTGGAGAGGAATTTGGTAGCTCCGTCAAACTTTTTCGCCAAGTATTTTGTTAAGCAATTATTGTACTTCTTAGTTAATCATTTTTTGCAAGAGCAGAAGTGAGTGTTCATCGAGAAGATCTACAAGTAAGTGTGGTAGTTGGGAAATTCAGACACATCTAAAATCTTCTGGCTTCCTTCATGACGAATGTCGCCTTTGAGGAAGAGTACTGTCATGAAATGACTGGACATACATATCTCATTACTTTGATGGGATCTCTGGACATGTTGGCCATCATTGCAAGGCTACCTTGGAATTCGAACTTACAGTTTCAAATCTACAGCCAACATCAGCTCTCATAGAACCTAACACTCACGACAGAAACAGCTTCTAGTTTGGTTTGGCAGTAGCTCCCATCACAGGGTATAAGGGGCGAGCTGGCATAAGACAAGTGGGGCGGAAGTGACGGTATGAAGTTCCACGCTGGTGTTGAACACAACGGAAGGAGCTCCTCACTGCTACACTCTACTCTTTGACGTCTTGAATCGACACTATTATCGGTGTCCAACTACATAGCAAAAGTAGTTCATGTCAGTTGCTCGGTTTCCGTAGAAGCTCTCTTCTTATGCGTTGCTCTTTTGATACCCTTGGAACCAAGTCCATTGCAGCTCTTTTTATCAGATTTTAGAATCTTGCAACACTAACCAGAGTAACATGGTTTATAAACTTTATTAGACTCAAAGAAACGATAGTAATTGCAATACCCAACGCCGAGAAATTTGAAAGGAATAGTTGAAAGATTGGGAATTGATGAGCATCATTGTTATAAACGAAAGAACTAAAGAGAAATACCCATAGAAACATTGATTGTTCAACGGAAACACAGAAATATGATAGATGTTGCCGGTTAGAAAAATAACTTTCTCAAATAAGTAAACAAATGAGACATAAGGACTCTTCCAAAAACAGGTGCAGGACCTAATGTGCTGTTCCTTTCCTTGCAGATCAGCTATCACTGTGGTCAATAGACTCAACTCGCGCATATTAGCCAGATCCGGGAGACATCATGGACAAGGCAGGACGGAAAAGCTCGTTCTGTTATTGATTTGATAAGAGACGTCCTGTAGAAAGGTACCAGAGGACAGGAAGGCTACAGCTGAGCTAACGAAATTAAGCCCAGAGACATAAAAAGCGAGCTGTCTTGCCCATCTTAGTAGCCCTACCACTACCGACTCTTTGTCGCATGTCTGAATATGTGACCTATCAACTGCCTGGGCCTGCAGGGTAAGCATTCTGGATTACTCACTCTGGCAGCTATTTCAAGAAGAGTTCCCACGATTAATCAACAAAGTTACTCAAGAAAAACTCGACAGAAGTAGATCCATTAAAAATGACCAGGGCAAGGTAACTTTTCGATGACAGAAATTATGTAAAAGGAAGGATCCTGTTAGCATTTACGAATTTGTTACCAAACCCTGTTTATAAAAAGTAAAAAGGAGGAATGAAAGACGAAAATGTGTAGGACATTCAAAGGATTGCAGTGTCAAAAATACATAGGAAAATAATGAATATCAAAGGCGATCAGAGTCCTCGGAATCGTCCAATGGGGAGTCGTTCAGCATCAACANAAGAGTTCCCACGATTAATCAACAAAGTTACTCAAGAAAAACTCGACAGAAGTAGATCCATTGAAAATGACCAGGGCAAGGTAACTTTTCGATGAGGGAAATTTTGTAGAAAGAAGGACCCTGTTAGCATTTACGAATTTGTTACCAAACCCTGTTTATAAAAAGTAAAAAGGAGGAATGAAAGACGAAAATGTGTAGGACATTCCAAGGATTGCAGTGTCAAAAATACTTAGGAAAATAATGAATATCAAAGGCGATCAGAGTCCTCGGAATCGTCCAATGGAGAGTCGTTCAGCATCAACAACTTTCTCTTATAAACAAGGTCGTAACCCTGAAAATATTCTGCCTGAAGGTGGTGAGAATAGCAGAAAAGTGGAACTGTTTCCATAAGAAAAGGAAGCGTGAACACAAAAAAGCAATCTGGCCAACGATCTGAATGAATCCGATATGTCAGTCGATACCTGATTGCAGCAGAGTCGTTGACACTGTGAATCTGTCTCAAAATGGTTGAGATTGTAGTCAGGAGAACACGATGAGTAACTGAATCGAACGCAGCGATCCGCCAACGGATCATATGTGAATTGGATCCTTTGGACTGGTGGAGAATTCGGGGACAGACAAACGTTCAACGGTGGTCGTGGTTGCAGGCAGAATGATTCTGGAAGCTTTGAGAATAACAACTCTGTAGGTCATTGTAATTTGACTTTTCAGGTCAAAAAGATCGGTACTAATTACAGAATTGTTTTAGATGGGAATAAGAACTTGTTCGAATTATCAAGGTCCCCCCCCCCC